CCCCCACCCCCTGCTGCCCCCACCCCTGCTGGCACAACCAGTACTGGCACCAACCAGTGCTGGCACAACCAGTGCTGCTGACACAACCACTGCTGCTGACACAACCACTGCTGCTGACACAACCACTTCTGGCACAACCATTGCTGGCACCACCACTGCTCACACAAGCAGTGTTGCAGCAAGGGACGGCACAGCAAGGTGTGGGGAGGCCCCTGGCGCTGAGAGCAGAAACCAGTGCAGGAGAACAGGGGCTGCACTTGTGAGCCTCTTGTGACTGCCTCTGACTTCCCATTCCAGCACCTCAAAAAAACGCCTGCATCGCCTGCGTCAGATGGAACAATTTTAGTTCTGACCAGCCTGACGGGTTTGCACAGCGCAGGAAAACTCTGCTCCCACTACCTGCTTTCAGCGTGGCTTGCTTATTGTCAACAGCTATAAACATATGTATGAATAAGAAACGTTACTACATTTGCTACAAAAACACACCACAAGGTAAAACTGTCTCCTGATATTAAACCCCGTAGTGATTTTTACAAGTCTCTCTCGGTTAGCACTGGCACACATTCGTGAGAAAAGCTCAAAGAAGGCAGATGCGAATTTTCACGTTCACGTTACATCTAGTGAGCATATTCACTCCAATAAGTTAATTACAGAACGTTTCCCAAGATGCATGTATGTAACTTTGAAATATGCCCCAAGTTTCAAGCACTGTTTTCCTATCCTCTGCTTTTCTGGGTAATCTTTAGTGCCAACATCCGCAATTTTGCCAGTTAAATCCAAGGACACACACAGCAAAAGAAACCTAACTCCAGCTCGTCTGCCTGCCCAAGACTTATGAGAAAAACAGTTGCTATCCAAAAAATGTATAAGCTGCGCTGTGCACAAACTGCATGGCTGTTACAGCAGCCACCACATGGCAACAAACATTTGCTCCCCAACAGGCAGCGTAATTTAAGTAAAAGGCAAGCTAATTAGCTCCAGTTTCAAAGAAAAGGACGGGCCGTGAAAATACAAAAGGAGAAGACTTAATGAAATTTAGCAACTTCACACTAATTCTTAGAAACTGCATTTTAAGAGACTTACAGGGAGAAAAAAACTACATAAATTCCAGACGCACTGTGTCGGTCTGGGTGTCGTTTGGCACAGAAGCTGAGTGTTCTGCCCCTCTTCTGGGGGGAAACAGGGAGAGCACTTCCCAAACGCCTGAGCCTCGGGCATCGCTCATCAACCATGGCACGGCATGGCCTCTGTGGCCGTGGGCTGTGCAAAACCACACACGACTCTGCGCAAACAGTTCCTCAACGTTGATGGGCAAGAAACAGGTCTTCTACCAGAGAAGAAGGCAAAGAGCGTTTCTCAGCGTTGCCGTCTAAAACAGCACCGCTCACAGCCATCCCCAGGAAAACCCTCACTTGCACCAACCTGCAGACCAGCGCTGCAGGACAGGGCATCCCCTGCCCCGGACCGCCTCATGGACATGTGCAACAAGGAAAACTACTGGATATATCAGGTTTTTAGGTGAAAAAAAGGTCCCAGTGCTGCAGCTGACCTGGCCAGCCATGGACACAGCCTTTTCTCTCAGGCTGGGAGGGATGCTGTTCCTGGACATGATTTTTGTACTCTGGGAGCCAGTGGGCGAGAAGGAAGCTCTGATGGTCTCAGAGGGTGTAGGGGCTGGTGAGAAGGCCTGTGTTACACTGTATGGTCAATTACAGATGTGTCTCTGACATCCACCATGCTAACCATCACATTTACTAACTTCCTGCACAGTAACGTGGAAGAAGAGCTTGCAAAACACCAAAATGTTGGGCGTCAGTCTCAGCAGCTGGGAATCTCTCTGAATTACTGCATGCAGAATCCTCAACAGCAGTTACAGTAAATTTTAGATCAAGCGCCCAAAGTGACCGAATCCTGCAGGAGCGGTTTCAGGATCTCCTGTGGAGGGGCCCAGCTCAGGTTTCCTCTCCACTCCTGTCACAGTCTGTCCCTTTCCCAAGCTGTAACCCCTCAAGTCTGGCACGGAGTGAAGCCTGAACGAGCACTGGTGTCTGCAGTGCTGGGGGCCAGCCAGGCAACACCAAGAGGGGCAGCCACCTCACTGCACGGAAAGAGGAGCGACACCACTCCCTGCATTATGAGCACCGGTTACTTTCCTACCCCACAGCACTTTTCAGCAAACTTCTTACTGTTACACAGTTCCTACCTCTGATTTTCCTTACGTTTTCAGTCCTCAAACTGTTCTTTTTCTACTTAATTTGTTTACAGCAAGAAACCGTTGTATTCCCTCTTTCCTTCACCCCCCTGCAAGTTCATATATGCTCTTATGAATACAAAACATACAGGAAAGGTTTAAAGTTCACAGCGTGAATCACTCTGATATTACCTCTAAATTTCTAACAGCAAAGACGCTGTCTTTCCATCTACGACACTGCTGAAGCCGTGGTATTGGCATGGTATAAACACTTGGCTGTTTCCTTCGCCGTGGTTTCGCACCCATCATTACACACTCCGATTTGCTTTCTGTTCATCTTTCTTGTCACCCACGGACACCGGTATCCTTGCAGACAAACTCTCCCACATACAGAAGAATACAGAAGCAATTAAGAGAAGTACTAACCTTCGCTGGCAGGAGTTGTGAAGCCTTCGATGTTCAATATTATATCTTCATCCCCGTCATCTGCATCGGCTCCCAGAAGCATCCAGTTCTCGACATGATCTTCAGATATCACGCTCTCCTCCGAGCTATCGTCTATCACCAGCATGTCTGCGATGGTGTGGGCTCCAGCAGCACAAACTGGGCTAAGCTTCCCCCCAGCGCTTCTCCCTTCCCTCGAAGTGTCTGCGCCTGATCCAGACAGGGACAGGGCACTGCATGCAGCGGCCTTGGCATGGTTCGGTGTGGAAGATGCTGGATGAATGTGCATTTTGCCTCGCTCTAAACGGCCTGCTGACTTCTTTGCTTTGCTTTTGTAAATACTATCTTCATCGGGTGTGTCAGACAAGACGATGACCTCGGGATCAACTGTGATTTTCTTCTTTTCAGCCGGAACTCCTGCATCATCAGACTCTTCATCCACTTCCAGCACGCTGATTTCTCCAAGATTTTGGGAATAGTGGATCTGGCTGTAGAGATGAAATTCCACGTCGCTATCAACACTCTGCTCACTGGACGACTCCTCATGATAAAGCTCATCTTCGTACTTGTAGCTATCCTCGTCGTCTTCGTGTCCAACAAACATTCTGGAAAGCAAACGGTCTGTATCTACAAAAAAAAGAACATGTTATATCAGAATGATCATGAATGTATGTCCAAAGCCATCTTTCAGAGGATAAGCTTTGCTCTTTCTGATATTGCAAAGGTTAGTCATAGAGCTCTGCATACAGAAGACAAAAACCAAGCACATACAACAACCACAACAATCAGCGCTCAAACCCACAGTAGCAAAAGCTACTTAAGGGTGCATCTGGTTTAATCTTAACTGCTACTTGAACCTCAGCTACTCTGGCTTCTGAAAGGTGTGCTTAATGTGCTCTCAGCCTCCACAGCTCCTCTCCATCTTGGGTTCAAAACCAGGGTACCTGCATGGATCAGGAGTCAAATGAGTGTCTGAATCTGAGTTGTGATCGTTCCACCAAACAGTATTAATGTCGCAGCTCATTTTACTAACACTTATACTTATACTGGAAGAGTGGGGAAGGAAGATGTGGCACTATTTGACAGCAGTCACTGGGAGCCTATCTACACTGGGTGCAGAGTCACCCAAACTGGTGCTTCAGAACTTGACCCTGTGGCGAGAAGTGCGAGGGCTGTGACACAGGAGCACTCTGACGCGCTCAGCACATGGCCAGGTCTGAAGGCAGCACAAAAAAACCAACAGTAAAGGCGGTGTACAAATCTGCAGCCTTCACACAAAGTTGTGCGTGTCACGCTGTCCCATCAGGACTTACAAACTGAGTTACGATGCGATGAAAATGCAATTACAATGCTCTTAGACCTGAGGCCAATACACCTGCAAACAGTGCTTGCCCAGCTCACCATCAGCTAGGACATCGCCGTGCTGCCACCAGTCAAGCAACAATTACCCACAACCTTTAATGGCCTTCCTGGTGGGCCTAGGAATAAAGCCCCGATTTCCCTCCTCGTGTACTCAGCAACACTGCTTTTAAACAAATACGCTGTAAGAGCTGGCTGCTGGGACAAAGTGCGCCCTCATCAAGTTTGGAGGTGATGGAGAACTGGGAGAAATGGTCGACACACCAGAATGATTGTGCTCCTGAACCCCAAGGGGTTGGAGAAGTGGGCAGAGAGGGTCCTGGTGAAGGCCAGCAAAGGTAAATGCCAAGTCCTGTGCCTGGGAAGGGACAGGCTGGCCACTGCCTGGAAAGCGGGTTTGCAAAAAGAGACCTGGAGTGGGACAAGTGGACTGTAAGCTCACTGTCCTGGTTTGAGCTAACCAGAACTGATTTTCTATTGAGTGATTTCACTTTCCAGCTCGGTCTCTTCTCAGGGGTTGAACTGGCTGAAACCAGCAGCACGGTTTAACCACAGTGTGCACTGCTACAAGTGATCATCACAAGGCCACTGTCTCACCATGGGGGCCGTGTCTGCACCTGCAGGAGCAGACCCAACCCTGCCCAACCAGGGATTGCATCCCACACACCCACACTCAGTGCAAAGCCCAGGGATCCCCAGGGGCTCCACCCTTCCACCTTGGACCCTTCCTTCCCTCTCCACCCCTGCAATGGCCCAAGGCCCAGCAGACCCTGCTGCTTCGCCTGCCTCTCATCCTCAGCCCTGTGCTCCTGCATCAGCTCCCACTGCTGCTGGCTCCACACTGGGACTTTTCCAGTGCTCCCAGAGCCTCTGGTGCCGTCATCGTCATTGAGGGAGAATTTTATCTTGGTTTTGTAGATATATTTGTCCATGTCTGTATCTATTCCATTATTTCCTATTTCCATCATTATCCTGTAGTATCAGTATTATTGTTTCATTAAACCTGTCAGTTTTATTTCCCAACCCGGGCAGTCTCTCTCCCTTCTTCTCTTTTCTCTTCCCTTGTGGGGAGGGCGGAGGGATTCACAGAGAGCATCTGGCCAGGGTTTAGTGCCCAGCCCAGCCCTAGACCACAACACCCACACATTTCTGGGGCAGAAGTCACCCTGGGCTCCTGAAGAGCATCACCAGCAGCAAGGGAGGTCAGCGCCCATGAGACCACATCTGGAGCGCTGCGTACAGCCCCAGGCCCTCCAGCACTGGAGATGGGCACTGGAGTGAGCACAGTGACCACAGGCCACCAAAATGATTCGGGGATGGGAGCGGTTGTGTCAGGGCCAGGCTGAGGCAGTTGGGACTGGTCTGGCTCGAGGAGGCTCAGGGGATCATATCAGCACACATAAACACCTGATGGCAGGGAGTGCACGAGACAGAGGCCCTTCCAGCAACAGGTCAAGAAGCAAGACACAAAAATAAAATACAGGAAATTCCACGTAAACATAAGAAAATTTCCCTTTTTCACTCTTTCTTTGCCCAGAAAGGCTGTGGAGTCTCCACCCTTGAAGATGTTCACAAACCAGCTGGCTGTGACCCTCCGCAAAGCGCTGTGGTCACCCTGCTTTGACTGGATCACACTGATCAGACCACTGCTTCTTCCCACCCCAGCAATCCTGGGACCCCAGCCCAACGGCCAGCGCCTCTGGAGCTCACCACGTGCTCCCTAGCACGATACAAAGAGTTGTTACGTTACCGTGCCCAACTCACAGGATACACGATCGCACTTACATGACAACATCGTGCATGGAGGAGAGGAAAGTTCTCTGAAAGGTCTGTCTTTATCTCGGTGTCAGTTACTGCTAGGGGAGCCAAAAAGCTTTTTCAGACATGAAAACTGTCAGGCGGCCTCCAGCTTTTTAGCTGTGGAAGGAAGCTGTGTGGCATTGTTTAAATTTGTACACTGATACACAAGTACAAAAATTTAGGTTCGGGAGCTTTGTACAGAAGCAATTTGTGCAATGGTGGTATTCAAAGAACCCAAAGGATCTTACTATGAGAGCTTTCTGTGCACACCCTACAAGGGCCCTTCCCTGGATCACAAGAGATTTGACCCCATTTGTATTCCTGCTACACCAGAGGCAAACTAAAAACACTTTTGCCACAAAAATAAACAAGGCAAAAGAACATAAAAATGAGTGCACAAGCAGGAAAAGATGATGCTCACTGACAATCCATACGCTGTAGTCTTTTCTACCCAGGCTTCCAGCAGATCAGCGTACATCGCTCCATCTCACCTGCATAGCTCAGGAAGCAGCTTTGGTCCTCGCAGCCTCTGCTATCTCCTCATACACCCAAGTTGGTTTCTAACCTACAAATACTGTCATTGAACTCAACAGGTGGAGGTTATAGGATCTGTTTTAAAAGCTCTCCTGTCCATACAGCGACTGTAACCTCCTGGAAACTTTTACATCTGTCAACATAGCAATAACCTGAGGATAACATGAATGTATCCGCCAGACTTTGTCTCTCTCATCCGGGTTCTTAGGCAAATGCAGTACCTATTATTCCAATTAAAATATGAATGAGGTCAGAGATCTTGGTGGTAATAGACACAATAAACCTGTTTTATACCAGTACTTAGGCTTGGATGCTGTAGATAGGAAGAAAAAGTAAAACACCGGTTGCTTGAACAGTAGTAAGTAGTAAAGAAATAAGACAGAAAAGCATCTGACAGATCAGCACTCGTACTCATAAATGTTTCTCTCAACTTTACATGGGGTCTCCCTTTCAGCCAGAGATTGCCCTGTTCCCATCCACGGGGTGGGAAAAAAGCAGAGCCGGCTTCAATCAAGCACATTTACAATCTTTATCTGTGGTTACGTGACGTGAGAAAAGAGGACTTCAGTGATGGAGGAAATCAAAGAATCCCCCTGAAGCATGCCACAATTTTAGTGACACTGTAAAAGCCAGCTCAAGCGCTCTTTCTGTCCCATTCTGTCACTCACTGGATAAAGTGACGCAAACTGAGTACGTGACCATTGCAGAAAACATGCGGTGAGACCAGACTGCGGGACCTCGAGTGCCAAAGAGCGCCTGAGGAGCTGACTCACAGACACTTCATAACACAGACTGCAGTCAGAAGAGGCAGCACGGCACTGTGCTTACTTTGATCTGCCCTCCTCAGCAGCGCTGATCAAACAACTCCTCCTCCTCCTCCTCCTCGCAGGCCCTCGCACAGGAATGATGGGCTCTTCCTCTCACTCTGCATGTACAGCAGGCCCCTGGGAAACAAGAAGAGACATAACATCGGCATCACCCCAGTGACACTCAGTCCACTGCTCACCACCCTCCAGCTCAGGCAACAGCTGTGCCCACCTCTTCATGGCAGAGAGAAACCTCAGAAAGCAGCAAAGCATCAGAAAGCATCAAAGCACAAGATCACTGCCTCTAGGAAAGGGAAGAGGAGCTCGAGAGCCAAAGCTGTGCTGTTTTTCAGGCTGTGAAGGTGAAGCAGTCTCTCACCATATCCACACTGATACTCAAGCAGAGAACAAATGCAATTTAGATTTACTTTCCCCAGTGAAAGCTTTAGACTGTGGCCAATCGTCCTTCTGCTCCCAGCTGGACTATGACAGACACCCCTCATGCCTGAGTGTAAAACCACATTAAAAACAACAGTCCTGCAGACTGGCTGACCTGAGAGGTAACACAGGCTGCAGAGCATTACACGCTGATACACTGTACTTCAGAACTGCCCTGCCTTGCTTTAAAAAAAGCCCCAAAACTTCAAACCCTAGGCCACCCCATCCGTTCACCAAGAGGAACCCCATTCCTACCTGAACCCAGAGCACAACTTCCCTCAGAAGCACCCGACTGCCCCTCTGGTAGGCCCTAGGTAAGAGCAGTTCAGGTAAAGAGCTACCAATGCTAAACAAAATTTAAAAAATCACAGCTATCCGATTTTCTTCTAACCATTTCCAAACAGAACTCCAGATGGTGACAGTCAGAAATGGCAGGAGGTTGTGTTCCCAGGCCATTTACAAAGACCAGCACTTCCTGTCTTGCTCATTGGGAGCCAGTGTCCCCACTTGAAGAGGTGACAGCTGCTGGTAGCAGCACAGCACGGCCAAAGGAAAGTGCTGGCAGCGACTTGCAGGCAGGAGAAAGAGCACGGATGAGTTCATCCCAACACTCACAAGCTGCATGCCAGCAGCTACTTCCTCAGCCCAAATTTCAAAGCGGTTTGGG